TCCGATTCCTTTGTTTTGTATCTTCTTTTCCTGCTCCTCGTTTGTGTTTGTCTCACTTGGTTCTGTTGTTATCTTCTTCTTTGACCATAAACTGATCTTACAGGTAGATGGCAAAAAGAACAAGGTCTATGCACAGAATCTCTGTTATCTGGCAAAATTGTTTCTTGACCACAAAACTCTTTACTATGACGTCGACTTGTTTCTATTCTACGTTCTGTGCGAATGTGATGATCGAGGATGCCACATGGTTGGGTACTTTTCAAAGGTATTGACAATTTAATATTGCACTGCTTTTGGTTATGTTTTCCAGAATATCTAGGTCATTGAATGACTGCAACGTATGTGACAGGTTTATGCGTGGCAATTCTCACTGAATTGGATTTTTATCGGTGTTCCCTTGTAAAATCGTTATATAATGTCTTGATACATAATGAATACTTAAAAATACCATGAATACAAACATCAGACATTCTTGCTGAGCCATTTTTGAGCATTTTCGCCTTTAATTCTCGGTGCATAGATATGCAGAATGTTCGGTTCCAGTGGTGTGATTGTTGATAAAATGTCATGTATGTTGGTACAGGAAAAACATTCAGAAGAATCTTACAACTTGGCTTGCATTCTCACTCTTCCTCCATATCAGAGGAAAGGATATGGAAAATTCTTGATTGCCTTCTGTTAGTTCTCTACCATTTGATTCTTTTGCTTCTCTCCCATCCCCACCCCCCCCTCCAAAACTTCTATGTTTGATTTTATTTGCAATTAATACAAATATTTATAACGCAACCATATGGTGCAGCCTATGAACTATCGAAGAAAGAGGGCAAAGTTGGAACACCTGAAAGACCCCTGTCCGATCTAGGCTTACTGAGCTACAGAGGTTATTGGACTCGAGTTCTATTAGACATCTTGAAAAAGCACAAGGGAAACATTTCTATCAAGGTAATATTACATCGTTCCTTTGAAACACCAACCCGTAATGGATTGTTTCGAACTCGCTGATCGAGAGGGAAATCTCTGCTAATATTCTATGGTGTGTGTATATATACATACTATAATTGTAGGAGTTGAGTGACATGACTGCAATCAAGGCTGAAGATATATTGAGCACATTGCAGAGCCTAGAACTGATACAATACCGAAAGGGACAACATGTGATCTGTGCTGATCCCAAGGTCCTAGACCGACACCTGAAAGCCGCGGGTCACGGTGGTCTTGAGGTAGATGTTAGCAAACTCATATGGACCCCTTACAAGGAGCAGAGTTAGTCCTTTTTATAACTTTCCTGGGATCTCTCTCTCTTTCTCTCTGTGTAAATAATCTAACACGATTTATGTTCCTCTTTAGTACCTTTTTCTTTTGGGTGTAGTTTCTTGTAATTGTAGAGATCTTAGATTGAAATCTATGTAGGTGGGGCAGAAATGATGCCAACAAATCTCTGATTTGGACATCTCAAGTAAAGTTTTAATCTTCTGATAATACCCATGTTTAATACTATTTCCATGCAAATCTTTGGATCTTCTTGGTAAATTTTTTAGAGCCAATTGACTATCTTCTTGTTGATTAGGAGACTTCTCACTTCGACATGACCAAAGTCCAATTCAGAGGGAGGAATGACATTGATCGACGTAGTAAGAAAACTACAAAAGAAGACAAAAGCATATAATAACAGATGTTAGACCGACTGGTAAAGATTGAACTATGATACAGATCATATGGTGAAAGAAAAGCATGTTGTGTTATGGGTTTTCATGCTCAATGGAGCTGCAGATGCATTCAGGGAATGGGTTCTCATAGAAAGATTCTTCAGTCCTAAAACGAGCTCGCCCTCTCACTCCAGGTGATGGCCCTTTCCTTTTTCTCGGAGCACCTTGCCTGCAAATATAGGAGAACCCCCTAAAAGGCACAAACCAAGGAATAGGATTTTTGCATATATATATATATAGAGAGAGAGAGAGGTAGCACTTTCATTTCATTACCTGTCTTGGTGCATCTGCTTTACACGTTTGGACAACTTGGGACCTTCACTAAGCTGTCCACTCTCCAGCTTCTCAAAGAGTTTCACTAGTCCTTTCCTGCATTGGACAACAGAACAAGTTCACGTCTTCATCAGCATGAGCATGGTCTGGTTCTGAAGGTAAATATCTCATTTATGGCTACCAAGTAGCTATATATACAAGAACAAGTTGTGTGTTCTATGAGTTTTTAAAGGGATGACCTATCTGGGGTGATGGTTCTGCGATGGCCTAGAAATCTGCGGTGTCCCTCCACAGCTCTTGCCATGTTCCCGGAATGGGACGGAACAAACACATCGCTCTCAACTGATATTATGTAATCAAGAGCTGCAGTTTTTGTTGCATGCCCGGTGTATCCTTTCAACTCTTTCTCCGTAGCAAGCATTTCCTACAGTTTATGATCGCGTAACAGCGAAATCAGTTGCCAATGTCTTGAGAAACTCATCTCCATGTTTGATGTTACCATGGAAGTGAAGGGTTTCCAGACCTTGAAAACTAGATTTGGGAAGTAAGATCTTAGTTCCGAGAGTCTGTCATCTCCCCCATAGATTTCCCCGGCAGCGATATATATAAGTGTTGATGGAGGGTACCCGAGAGCTTTCAGAAAGATTCCCACCTCTTTGGGAGTCAACGGACAAAACCCTTCCATCCTCTGTTGTGTCGAGTTGATAACTTTGATCTTCCAATGGCTTGTAGATTCCCTGTGATGGAAAAGATGAAACCTTCAAGGTTATGTATGCCCATGCCCATGCTGCAATGTCTAAGATACATGCCCGAAATAGTTACCGCATTACTCTCAGTTCTTCTGATTCAGCATCAGTAAGACCGTAAGTGCAACCGGTGAAAGCCAGCATGTCTTTCTCGTATCTCAGATGAAGTGCGATATATCTCCCAGCCCGTGACTTGAGCCGCTCAACCAGCTTCTGTGGTTTCGATGGCATGCATGCTCAGAACCCATTTCTACAGGAAGCCCCATAGGATGCCTCTTAAATGCATAGACACTCTGGAAAAACATAAATCTAAGGCCATAGCCTTTCCTAAAGCCTGATCTTTCATCATACCGAAGATACCCTGACTTATATCTGATCACAAAAGACGCATTGTTTCTTCTATGAGCATCTATTAATGAACCCGCGGACACTAGTTTTCCTTCAGTTGATTATATAATACAACCTAACCACTCAAAAGTTGTTTTCTGTCTATATGATGTCATTCATACATGATTCTCTTGGGCTGTTCTGTTTTCTTCTTTCCATCATGATAAGGACAGAACAAAGACAGACACGAGAGGTAGAAATCCGAACCTGTCCAAGGCTCTCAATTGCAGGAGAAAAGCGAAGAGCGCTATACAGAGCACGGCATCTCAGTCTCTGGGTGTTAAGAGGCAGGTCACTATTTGCAAGGCGGGAATCTGATTTCGCAACAAGGATGACCTGCACCATTGATTTAAAACACGACCAATTTATTTACAAGTTTAATAATATACTAAGAAGGAAAAAAAATGGATGGTAAAATTGCGCAATCACGTATTTAATGCATTGAGCTTATAAAGCATTTTCATCAAAGATAATTTGCAAAGGTAATCTCAAAGAGATGCCGTACCTTGTACTCCTTCCACAAGTGTGTCATTTCTTCATAATAACCGACCCCAGACCAGGAAGTGAAATGCTTCCTTGCTCGAGGCAGGGATTCCACCTCCTTCGGCAGCTGCTTGATAATCTTCACATCTCTTTCTAGGGTTTTGATGAAATGCAGCTCATCGAATATATCTGAAAATGTACTGAGGTATATCGCATAGTCAAGTAGAGGTTGGCATAGAGAAAACTGTTTATCTATTTCAAACTTAATGAGCAACTTGTACATATATTTGTATGTCATAAAAGTATAATAACCAAATAGTGGATGACCATGAAACAATGCTAATATCCCCATTCAATCGAGCCAGCCTCAAAAGTCATTTAGCCAAAACTGACAACTGGCGACTACCTTGAATCTTGCCAGAATGAGCGCTTGTCCAGCTGAGGAATGACTAAAGTTGCATTCATGACGCGTGCAACAGCCACCATATCTGCTATCTGTTGGAATAGAAAGTTTGATATTTAATGCAGTTGGGCGAAAGTAAGGAACACAGTATGCAAAATTCAGGTTGATTCGAACACCAATTTTAAAAATAATGGATAATGAACAATGCACAGGATGACACCTCCATAACATACAATAGAACCCAGGTTAACAATTTATTGTGAGTTTAACTTACACCAGTGCGCATTTGGTTTAGTCCCCCATTACTTCTCACTGTTATGTAATGATCCGATTCTACAAAATCTACAAAAGAGAAGGAGAATGAGTTTGAGATGAAGAAGAACAAGAAATGGAATACCAAACGCTTACCTCTATATCCAGGAGTGGGCTTGATACATGGATGCAAACCAAAGCTGAAAGGAGGAGTCCAAAGTTGGATTTGTTCATCTGGTTTCTGCACAAATGATGCGAAAAGCCTCATCATCCTTTCTTCTATCAAGTCCTTCTATTGGTTCAGGCAAACACGTTGTGGCAACTTTGTTCATATCTATACGGTACCATACAAAAAAACCAACCAAAAACACGTTTTGGGATTTGATACATTTGATCCATAACCAATTTAATGGTTCAGATTTCCACCCATATTCGATTCAGGTTCCTCTAAGCCGCTGTTACCTGTATCCATTTGCCTGAACCCTTATCACAAAATTAAACATTTTACACGAAATTGATGCAAAGCCGACAACTTTCTGGAAAGTTTCCAACTCAATATCACATAGAGAAAGCTTAACTCAAATCACTGCGACCAAAAGTTCACAAATGAATAAGAAATAGAGTCACACCATTTCTTCATTGAAATCCAAACCAGGAAACACCCAATTCTCCGACAAACTCTTAATCCTCGAAGCACTACAAAAACAAACTAATATCCACAATTTTTTTTAAAAAAAACCATACCGGTGAAGGCGGAGGTGGCGACAGAGATTCGCTCGAAATGATCCGACCCCGATTTTGTATTTGAGTTTGATCGTCTGTCTGTATGTTTCTGGAGCTGAAGACGAGAACCCAGATGGAGAAAGCAAATACGAAGATCAAGTAGAATGAGATCGCCTTCTTCGAGAAAAATCTAGCCGAAAAAGATGAGATTGTCGAGCGCGAAGAACTTCTGTATTTCACCATCTCCAGATGAAGGAGAAGAATAATCTCTACAGATCTACAACGGTCTGATCCCCCCCAAGGTTTTACGCCTGACCGCTCGCTCAACCGGCGACCGATTCGGTTCGGTTTAAAATACTAAACCGGGTCACGAGCGAACCGTGTACCGGAGATGCCTGGTTAAGGACATACCGGTCGGATCGTTTGAGGCCAAACAATAAAACGCACCGTTTCGATTGTCTCTTCCGAAAAGAACCCCCAGCCAGCGTTCGTCGCACCCTATCGCATACTTGCTGCGCTTCACCTCAAAAGATCCTCTTTTCTTTCCCTCCCTCGCACCAGAAAGCGAGAGAAAGTAGTGGGAAAATTCTCTATCTGATGATAGAGAAATGGCATTCTCTTTCTCGAGTTCACTCAGTCCCACCCAGTTCCCCAAACCCTTAAACCCTTCCAGTACCCGCCCTGTCCAACTGCCTGGTTCTTTCTCCAGTTTCGTCCCTCGGAGACAGACCCAGAGAACAAAATTATGCTCCAAATTCGATCTGTTACTCTCGAGAAGAACTGGGTTTGTTTCTTGTAGTGTGTCGAGCTCTGGTTCTAATGGGTCTTCCCCCAACACGGAAGAAGACGCTGAAGCGACTCGTTTGTTCGAGGTATCTCCCAGTTTGTTTCTTTTTGAAGTATATAAGATGATAATTTACTGCTTTAGAATCGGCCCATGTTTAAGATGTGTAAAATGTTAGACTTTTTTCTTTGACGAAAGCTGAAGGAGTAGCAAGCTAATGTGTGATGATTCTGATGAACAGTTAGGGGTCATAGCAATGAAATGGCACGGTGCTATTAGGGTGATTTCTCGATTCTGTTTGGTCGGTTCAGTTTTATCGGTTGGCATGTGGCCATATTGTGCTGGCAGACCTTATATTTCTTGATTTGCCGTTGAATGATATTAAGAAGCAGATGGGCATAAAGTTCTTGAATGAGGGAATTTGATCAGCTTGTTCATGTTTCAGTACCTAAGACTTTCTGGATCTTCCAAAGCTTAGTTCGCTCTTCCTTTTTTTTTGGTTCACAGAAATTAAAGGAAGCAGAAAGAGACCGTATAAACAAATTGGAGGAGCTTGAGAGAAAGGCTAATGTACAGTTAGAAAGACAGCTTGTAATGGCTTCAGACTGGAGTAGAGCCTTGCTCGCAATGCGCGGGAAGTTAAAGGGAACAGAATGGGATCCTGAAAACTCTCATCGGATCAATTATAGCGACTTTATGAGACTCTTAGATTCAAATAGTGTTCAATACATGGAATACTCAAACTATGGCCAGACAATATCAGGTTCAGATTTTCTCTTTGTGCTATAATAATGTTGACAGTTTCTGTTTCAGTGACTTTCTGGTTATGATTTGTGGAATAAATTTCTAAAAAGTGTGTTCATCTTCATTCTGAAATCTGTGAGATATGAGTTCACGAGTTCTTTTTGACAGTCTTGATGCTACTTATTCTGACATTTATCACACAAACAATCTACTGATGTTTTCCAGTCTAACATAGTTTCTGTCCAAATGTTTCTAAAGGATCTTGTAACAAATATATAAATCCCATCATGCCCATTGAAGGCCAGGGTGAGGGCACAGATTTCTTGATATCTTTTACTGAAGACTATATTTTTCTTTTGCAGTGATATTGCCTTATTATAAAGACGGGGAACCTCAAGGAGAAGATAACTCGAAAAAGGAGATTATTTTCCGTCGTCACATTGTGGACCGTATGCCAATTGATTGTTGGAATGATGTCTGGAAGAAGTTGCACCAGCAGATAGTGAACATAGATGTTTTCAATGTAGATGCGGTTCCATCCGAGGTCTACTCTACTATTGCGACTTTTGTGATATGGTCTATGAGACTTGCCCTGTTTGGTTCACTGTATATTTGGATCGACAATATTATGAGGCCAATTTATGCCAAACTAATCCCTTGCGATCTTGGAACCCCAACCAAAAAGACAAGGGAACCACTTAAGCGTCGTGCACTTGGATCATTAGGCAAGAGTCGGTATGTGGAGAAATCCTCTATGTCCTTAAATATTTGCTTTCAGCTTAATTTGCAGAAAGGATTTCTTCATATTTACAACTATGAATGATTCTTCCTTTTGGTTAACATAGTTTTTTTTAGCTAATATGGCAATATTCATGAAGGTAATATGGATTTTAATCTATCTGTTATATGTATCTCAGGGCAAAATTCATATCTGCAGAGGAAAAAACAGGTGTTACTTTCGATGATTTTGCTGGCCAAGAGTACATAAAGAATGAATTGCAAGAGATTGTGCGCATCTTAAAGAATGACGAGGAGTTTCAGGACAAAGGCATTTACTGTCCGAAGGGTGTACTTCTTCATGGACCTCCTGGAACGGGAAAAACTCTGCTGGCTAAAGCCATTGCTGGAGAAGCTGGTTTGCCTTTCTTTGCGGCAAATGGAACTGACTTTGTCGAGGTGAGGGATTTTTGGCATGAAATATAGGATATACAGAGGAAATATTATGATTTATGAATGCTTTTTCAGGGCATGAGAAAGGAAGGTTTTTTAAAATTTCTTTTGTTATCTCCAGATGTTTGTAGGTGTGGCTGCATCCCGTGTAAAAGACCTTTTTGCTAGTGCTAGATCATTTGCCCCTTCTATAATCTTTATCGACGAGATCGATGCAATCGGAAGTAAGCGTGGTGGGCCAGATATTGGCGGGGTAAGATAACTAGTTACTAGACATGGAGCTAGAGAACATAGTTTATGCTTGTGTTCTAAATGAACAGGGTGGAGCAGAGAGGGAACAAGGTCTCCTTCAAATCCTGACAGAGATGGATGGATTTAAAGTTACCACATCACAAGTATGATTTTTTTGTTTTCCATTGGACCATCGGTGCTGAAGCTTTTTCCCCTTTTTTTCCCCGGTTTATTTCTTGGTAGTTTAACTTCTTAATCGTGGCTTTGTCAGGTTTTGATTATAGGTGCAACAAATAGGTTAGATATTCTTGATCCTGCTCTTTTGAGAAAGGGTCGTTTTGACAAGATCATAAGAGTTGGTTTGCCATCAAAGGATGGCAGATTAGAAATATTAAAGGTTGTGATTTTTTTGTGGAATTGAATAAATCTGGTTTGCTTAACCTGATAAGATGCGTTAGCTAAGGTTATCTTGCTTCAATCTTACAGGTTCATGCTAGAAATAAGTTCTTCAGATCCGAGCAAGAGAAGGAGGTGTTGCTGCGAGAAGTTGCTGAGCTTGCAGAAGATTTTACTGGAGCAGAACTGCAAAACGTTCTGTAATGACTCTACTTTTATCGATCTGTGTTACCTAATTTGCTGAGAAAATTTTCTGATGTTTCCCTGATTTGACAGTAACGAAGCTGGAATCTTGACTGCTAGAAAAGACTTGGACTACATTGGACGAGAAGAACTTTTAGAAGCTCTAAAAAGGGTTAACGCTCTAATTACCGCTCATCTACAATCAGAATCGACTTCATTTTTATTTCAGTTTCTCATTTCATGGTGCTACTTTACTTCTTTCCAGCAAAAAGGGACATTTGAAACAGGACAAGAAGACAGTACTGAAGTTCCAGAGGAGTTGAAGTTGAGACTTGCATACCGAGAGGCGGCTGTTGCTGTTCTTGCATGCTATCTCCCTGATCCATATCGTCCTATTGCTGAGGTGATCGATAAGTTGATCTTATTGACATTTTTGTTCAATCTTTTTGCATGTGTTCTATCTGATCAATGATCATATAATTACATCTAAGCCCATTATTTTATGCGCTTCCTCCAGACCGACATAAATTCTATTCGAAGTCAACCAAATATGCGATATGCAGAAACTTCAGGGAGAGTCTTTGCGAGAAAATCAGACTATGTTAACTCAATCATCCGCGCATGTGCTCGTAAGTGGCAAAAGCCTCTTCCCTTAACAAAACTCATGCATGCTATTGTGCATATGAAGTTATGCACTTGACGTGAATCCATCATGTATGGAAGCTCATAAATACTACACAATGCTTTGTTTCATAACTTGCTTTCAACCCTGTATCACTGTTTATATAGCTAGGGTAGTTGAGGAGGAGATGTTTGGGATCGAAAACTTGAGCTGGATCTCTGCTAAGTCTACCTTAGAGGCTTCAAGACTTGCAGAGTTTCTGATTCTTCAGACAGGAATGACTGCTTTCGGAAAAGCATACTATAGAAATCAAAGGGATCTCGTTCCAAACGTATGTTTGAACTTCTTCTCGATTTCTTTTGCTTTTTTTGTCCCTCTCTGAGCTGTTTTGTTGACTCATCGTACAATTTTACGCCTTCTTCATGAAGCTTGTTCCTAAACTCGAGGCACTACGAGATGAATACATGCGATTTGCTGTTGAGAAATGCTCGTCCATCTTACAAGACTGTCAAGCCGCCCTCGAAGAAATCACTGGTTAGCCCTCCTGCCCATCTGTTCTGTTCCTCGTACGCTTGAGATTATACATGAGCGCATTGCTCAGACATGTTACTCTTTTTCTTTGTCAGATGTTCTGCTCGAGAGAGGAGACATCAAAGCTGATGAGATTTGGGACATATACAAGAGATCTCCGAGGATTCCTCAAGTATTGTCTTTTCTACCTTTTTTTCTCTCTATATACACACTACCTACACTGTCATATACATATAGGTACCCTAGACGTATAATTCCAGATACGATCCAGTGCTTGAAAATGGCTTAATAAGCATTTTGATTATCGAGGGTTCTCTCTGAAAGTTTTGATCGTATCATTTGTGAAACAGAAACCCGTGAAGCCGGTTGATGAATATGGAGCCCTGATTTATGCTGGAAGATGGGGAATTCACGGTGTATCGTTACCGGGCAGAGTAACATTTGCTCCGGGAAACACTGGCTTTGCTACGTTTGGTGCTCCCCGTCCCATGGAGGTAGACGAAGTTCATAACCTAACCAACCGCCACTTTTTAAGTTTCGAGTGAATTTTTCTCTAACTGGTGATTCTCTATGTAACACAGACACAAATCATCAGCGACGAAACGTGGAAGCTAGTAGACGATATCTGGGACAAGAAGGTTGATGAGATGAAGACTCAGGCTTCAATGGAGGTCGAGGAGGAAAAGAAAAAACCTCAACTTTTGATGGCAAGCCATTTCTTTTGACCATATGTACGTCCGTTCTTCCACACGTGAGTCACTACGTATATATGCCACTGTATGTATATATCTCCTTCCATATGTAAACTTCCTCGACATGTCTCTCTGTTTCAGTCAGTTTTGCAGTTTCAGACAGAGCTGGGCAAGAACAAGAACATTATATAACGGACATCCAAAAAGAGCCCAAAGTGCAGGAACCAACAGAGCAGGAGGAGATCCTTTTCTTGTACAGAGACACTTCTGGTTTTTGTGTATTGACGCTAAACCGGTATGTTCCCGAGCGAGTGAGCCAGCAAAGCTTCTTCTTCTGGTGGTTAACCGGTTCATAATTTCTAAACCGATTCCGGTTATCTTTGGTACTCGACCTGAGTAGTGATGATACTCGTTAGTCGTTACAGAGAGGGGTGTTCCGTGCTGCTGCATGGGGCTCGCGTGAATTGGGCTGTGATGGCTTTGATGGCGCGTCATTACAATTATTACCAAGTATACTTATCCATTTATATTTTTCAATGGGCATGAATTCACAAGCGCGCGCATATATATATATATAGAGAGAGAGAGAGAGAGAGAGATTTATAAACATAGCCCATAGCCATAGGTTTCATTGCAGGGATAGAAAAGAGGGCAACGTTTACAACTTACAAATTTTGTTCAAGGACGTTTCTTACAAAGTTGATTAAATTCGAAATTGATATTACCAACTTTTATATAAATTTGTTTCCACGAATGCTTAAAAAAAATATCATACATCCATTTTGGTCCTACCCCACGCAAAATTTTATACAAAATGATATATATATATATATATATATATATATGGGACCTACCTACCTCTTTTGAAAGAAATAAAAAAACAAAAAACAAAAGTCGGATTTTGCATTTTGGATGCATGATAAGTCTCACGTGCCGTAATATTAGGTTTAGTACCATTTGTTTATAAAGGCATTTCGATCATTCATTCACAAACAAACTCCAAATGTCCAATTATACATATATATATATATATATAATTTGATTTCATTGCCCATGGAATATCAATCAAAATTATGAAGGTTAATTAGTTTTTTTATATAAAATATGATTTGTATTACCGGTGACAATTGTTAAAAATAGAAAAAAGAATATATGATGAGAGTAAAATAAGATTTTAATATTTGATGAGGAATAATAATGGATACAATATTATTATGTCAAATATTGTGTATCTGATTTATTTTCCTTAAATATATATTTCCTTTTTACTTCTTTTCTTAATTTTTCTATAAATATATTCATTTTCATTGTAATGTAACAACAAGAAGAGATAACAATAAAAGTATTCTGATTTTTTTTCTCTTTCGTTTCTTTCTTGTTTATTTATTTTTTGCATTTTATTTCTCAATAGCAAATACAATCAGTCAATGGTTAGACCAAAACTATACAAAGCCTTGAGTTCCCATGCGAAAGTGGGCAAAAATAGCCGGTCGAGGGTGCAAAATGTCTCTTATCGCACTAGTTGCCGGAGCTAAGGAGGTACCAGTCTGCAAGGTGGTGGTTCTCGTCGCGGTTCCTTACAGACAGCAAGATCTCTCTTATCCAACTATCCATATTAGTTATCAAAGGCATTACGGAAAAATTATATATATATATATATATATGTATGTATATATATATATATATATGATTTGACTGCAGACCCACCACTACTAACACGTTAATGTATCGAATATTCAATCCTATCACTGCAATTTACACCAAATTCGGAACGAAAAAGTTGTTAAAACATTCATTATTCCTTCAACGAATATACGTTGGACTAATTAAGATTAATTAACACCTAATTAAGGTTTATCTAATCGTTGGTTCAAATGAATCGTGAATTACACGAAATATATACATAGGCTTTGCTTTTACAACAATGTGACACCGTCACGCGTCGCCACAAAACACAATATTCGAATTTTTATTTATGGGGGAAACAAAATGGGACAATCCCACTCATTAGTTTAGATTTCCATTTCAACATTTTGTTTAGATTTCTTTCCAACTCTTCGTTTTTTTCATTTTTCCATTTCTTTCCTCTTTTTATCAATTCAATCTATTTTATTTATTTTTTAATTTTTTTTTTACAATTATCTCCTATTTACAATATTTGTTTCCTATTCTCTTAGATTTTCTTTCAAACTCTCTCTAACATAGCAGAAAAAGATATTTATGTATATACGTGTATTTTTAAAAAATGTTTATTTTAATTTTTTTTATTTTTTTTTTCTAAAAATATCATCATGTGGCGATTATGTGGCAGATGGGTTGGATATATATTGTGCCACGTGAGCGTACTACATGTTTTTTTTTGTCTGGCATTTCGGAAAGGTTACTGTAAATCTTGTAGTCATCTAGTTTAATCTCATTTGGATAATTATTTTTTTTGGATTTTCCTAATAATAATAATTAGCTTTATTTAAAAAAAAAAGTGTACCACTGTTACGACTATATATAATGGCGTCACTAATGAAAATTAATATTCACAAACATAAAATACAAAGAGAAGAAGGACCGAAACACACATCCAATGGGCTCTTCTTATGTTTCTCATTTTCTCCTCTATCTCTTCTTCTACATCTCCACCGTCTTGCCGCCGTCGAACGCCCAGTCAACGCCGGTATTCGCATGCGACGTCGCCGGAAACCCATCTCTCGCCGGTTTTGGATTCTGCAACACATCGCTGGGGATCGAAGCCCGTGTGGCCGATCTGGTCGGGAGGCTGACGTTGCCGGAGAAGATAGGGTTTCTCGTGAGCGGAGCAAAAGCGGTGAGCCGTCTCGGCCTTC